GTTTAGGATTAGGATTGGGGTTGGGGTTTAGGGTTTAGGGTTTAGGGTTTAGGGCTTAGGGTTAGGGCAGGCATGTCCAAAGTCTGTTTCAGGGGCATTATCCGGCCTGTGGCAGTTTATTTCCTGGGGTAAAATAAAATAAAAACCTCAACAACTTGTATCCTAAAAGAAGCTCAACAACTTTAGTTGGCCCTTTGGTCAGCCCTCACAGCCCTTCACTTCATCAAAACTGGTCTTGGGTTAGGGTTAGTCTTAGGGGTAGGGTTAAAATTAGGGTTAGGGTTAGGGCGCAGGCTAGGGCTGGATCTAGGGCTAGGGTTTGGGTTACGGTTATGGTTGCACTTAGGGTTATGGCTAGGATAAGGGTAAGGGTAAGGGTTAGTCTTAGGGGTAGGGGTAGGGGCAGGGGCAGGGGTAAAATTAGTGTTAGGGCTTGGGTTACAGTTATGGTTGCACTTAGGGTTACGGGTAGGGCTAGGGCTAGGGCTAGAGCTAGGGCTAGGGCTAGGGTTAGGGTTAGGGTTAGGGTTAGGTTAGGTTAGGTTAGGGTTAGGGTTAGGGTTAGGGTTAGGGTTAGGGCTAGGGCTAGGGCTAGGGTTAGGGTTAGGGTGAACCTCCCAAAAAGAAAGCTTGGGCGACCTCCCAGAAAGAAAATCCTGGTTGTGAAATACTTTCACAAAAGAGAGTTCTGATGCTTACCTGAGCTGCTGCCTCCTCCTCCTCCTCCTGTGATCACTTGTAGCCGAATATGGTTGTCTTCCAGAAACACGGTTTTAACAGTGAGTCCGTAAGTGACTGTGGAGGCCAATTCTGGATCCACACATCCTTCCACAGTGGGGAAATAGGTTTCTGGGTGGGAGGTGATCATGGTAAGGATTTGTCAAATGTGCCTCTTAGCACATTTCTCCCTTTCCAGGGGTGGGTTAATCTTTGCTGTTGGTCATTTGTCAGAATAAATATAGAGCCGTACTTGAACAAAATACAGAAATCACACTCCATGAGAGAACAGTGCGATTCAGTTCATGCTTATGAACCAGGGCTTGAAGTGTTTCCTGGCATGAAGCACATAAAGATGAAAAAAAGGTAGTAGGGTGGAAAATGTAGTTGGGTGGTAGCAGAGGTCATGCACAGAGGTCTGTCATCAAAGTCATTCTGAGCTCTTGTGTCTCAGGCTTTTATAGTTGTCTCTCTGAGTTGTAAAGGGACCCCTGACCATTAGGTCCAGTCGTGATCGACTCTGGGGTTGCGGCGCTCATCTCGCTTTATTGGCTGAGGGAGCCAGCATGACTAAGCTGCTTCTGGCGAACCAGAGCAGTGCACGGAAACGCCGTTTACCTTCCCGCCAGAACGGTACCTATTTATCTACTTGCACTTCGATGTGCTTTTGAACTGCTAGGTTGGAAGGAGCTGGGACCAAACAATGGGAGCTCACCCCATCGCGGGGATTCGAACTGCCGACCTTGTGATTGGCAAGTCCTAGGCTCTGTGATTTAACCTACCACACCAGCACCCACCTAGAGCTGGCTCTGAAGTCTGATTGTTTGTGAAGTGAGGCACTTGGGGTGCTCAGAGGCCCGACCCCTCCAACAGATGTAAGTTGCAGAGCTGCTGATTTCCATACCCCCTAAGGTACCCATCTCTGCAACTTCACTGTTTCTGCCAAGAAAGTGCCTGGTAGGTTGAGGCACAACCTCTTCAGTTCTTTGCTCTTCATCAAAACTGGCTATCAATTGTACTTAAGGAGGCCATCCAACAGTCGCGTGCCTGAGCTAAGCCAAGCCCCCTTGCCCACCTCACCAGCTTCTTACAGACATTGCCAACCACAGAGATGCCAACTGAGAGTGCCCACAAATGGCAAGTTTAGTTGAGTGTGCTCATACGCTATGTCACTGCACTGAATGGTGCCCAAAGCAGCCTGAAACAAAGACCAACTGATTATCAAAACACAGCATCCTTGGAGGTTGCTACTGTTGCTGAAAGCTCTTAACTCTGCCCCTTGATAAAAACAGGGTTATGACAGGAGGGATGCATTCCATTGTCTCTGCAGGCAGGGGCAGAGGAAAGGGGTGCCACCCTGGGCGTCACTGTAGCACCCTGCTTGTGGTTAACGCTTAGCTGGAATGAAATATTCAACGCAGCAATAGAGAAATTAAAATAATAATTTATTTGCCAGACAAATAAATGATAGGCACAGTGGTATATGGTTACCAAAAGCTCTGCCCACCACAGCCCTGATGGCCAGCACTTATATTTCCTCAGCCCAGCCCCCTTGCTCCTCCTTTGGCTGCCTCTGTCCAATCAGCCTGGTTGAAATTCCTATTGGCTGTTTGCTAGAACCAATCATAAAAGATACACCCACTTCCTATTACCTTTTATAGAATCATAGAATCATAGAATTGGAAGAGACCACAAGGGCCATCGAGTCCAACCCCCTGCCAAGCAGGAAACACCATCAGAGCACTCCTGACATATGGTTGTCAAGCCTCTGCTTAAAGACCTCCAAAGAAGGAGACTCCACCACACTCCTTGGCAGCAAATTCCACTGTCGAACAGCTCTTACTGTCAGGAAGTTCTTCCTAAAGTTTAGGTGGAATCTTCTTTCTTGTAGTTTGGATCCATTGCTCCGTGTCCGCTTCTCTGGAGCAGCAGAAAACAACCTTTCTCTCTCCTCTATGTGACATCCTTTTATATATTTGAGGAGATGTATTTATGGGAGACAAAGAGCTATATTTCCTTCTATCCATAAATGGCAGACAAGTAGCCATATATCTTACATTTGCCTCGACAAGGCACCTTAATTACCAGATCACCTTTTGCCCTTTTACCCCTACACTCCAAAACAAATGGCTAAACAGATGGCTCATGGTTTTAAGTTCTATCTAAACAGAGATCTTGGGTTCACATTCTCACACACCATCAATGAAATAAGAATCTCACATAAGAATCTAACATTTCTTACTTTCTAAATCCTTTGCATAATTACGTTAAGCCAATAAATTTCATACATAACATAGATAGCTTTTTAGAAGAAAAGGAACTCAGTAAACAGCTTCAAAAGCAGCCTCTTCAATTTACAACCCCCTTTCCCCAGCCAGCTGCTTTTCCCATTAGCTCTTGCCATTTAACCTTAAGAAAATATGACTCGAATCTGATGGGAGGCACATGGTATTATTTTCTGTTAAACAATAAATCTTACTATTTACCAACTCTTAATTAGTGTTTTTGCAGCTTGATTGTATTCTGTAATATGTAGGGCCAATGTAACCTTTGCTCCCAGCCTGTAATTTCCTTTTACAACTTTGAGAAACATGTCTCCTGCTACTGCTATAAATCAGGGGGGCCCTTGAGCAGGAAGATAAACAACTGCCAGAGTACTTAGCCAGCTGGTTTCTGCCTGGCATGAAACATACAAACATTTGCAAATATATCTTTAAGCTCATTTTAAAATACAGGCCTTGATCAGATGCCTCATCACCACTGAGGAGGGTGACAAAATGCTGGGAGGCACTCACCACGGGGCCTGCAGCATGCCCAAGCCACCAGTGATCAGGACCTCATTAGCAGGACCAGTGGTCAGGGATGATGGGCCTTGTACTCCCACAACATTGGGTGACCCAAGGTGGAGAAAGGTTGCTCTGCACTGACTGGCAACCACTCTCTATCTCACACAAAGAGATACCTGGGTGCATTGGGTTCGCTGATGTGTTTGGTGCAGAAGTTTCCCCTACGCAGGTTGCTCTCTGTGTGGTCTTTGTGATCTTTAAGAACAGGCAAAAAAGTCCTTTGGCAAACACACACGGCAGAAGTGAAACCAATTGAATCATCTGAAGCAAACTTAACAGTAATATAAGGCTATGGCTATATGCACACCAACTTGAAATAAATTTTGTTGAGATCAGTGTGACATTTTGGAACCTGGGTGAAACTATCCTGAAATGGGCAAGTCAGCATAGAGGTTTTTTGTTTTGTTTTGTTTTGTTTGTCTTTACATGGAATGGCTGCAGGTCTGTCCTGCACATTTTTCTGGAAGCAAGTCCCAAATTTATGGGTTCAGGGAAAGGCCCAAAGAAAAAAATCTATGCCAATCTAGGCTATTTGCCGCAGAAAGGCCTTCATTTGGCACCTACACCCAAGCTAAACACTCTGACAGTTTGCCTCAGATTCTAGAGAATTGTAGGCTTCAGAGAGCCCCAAGGGTCATCCAGCCCACCCCCTGCAATGCAGGAAGTACACTTTGATTGCAACTGACACCCAGTCACTGTTACTCATGAGCACCAGAAGCAGGTGTTGTCCCCTTCCAACGAAAACCCACTCTGTTTTTGGAGAGCTCCTGACACACCTCAATGCACACACCTCCTCAGGTTAGGCAGGTGGCCATGTTTCCATTTCACTCTTTCATGAAAAGTATGTGTTGCTTGATTGTAGAACAAAAAACCTTGAAGCAGTTTACAAAACCAGCAAAAGAACAGGCAAGCGCAGCAAAATCCTTGGCAGTGAGCATGGGGGGGGGGCAGGGGGCACCGTGGGATTTTCACTTGAGTAAATGCAGGACAGGATGGCCGAGAAGCATAGTTCTTGCAGGGGGACCTCCATGGACAGATGCAACGTAGCAGGGAATGGGCTAGGCTGGGGAGGGGGGTGAGCGAAGACCAGAAGCTTAACGCTGTGATGCAGCAGCAGCAGCAGCAGCAAAAAAGGCGAATGCTCTTCTCGGCTGCCTCCACAGAAGTCTAGTGTGCAGATCAAGGGAAGTCCGAGTCCCGCCTCTTCTGCCGCAATTTAAGAAGGATGCTGCCAAGCCGGAAGGCGGGCCCAGGAGGGTCTGGACGGCGCTCGAAGGAGGGAGAGGCTGAGGGCCCCTTGGGCGGAGAGCCAAGCCCAGCCCCGTTTGTCCGCCTCCCGCTGCTTCGCTCCCCCAGGGGCGGAGCCAGGATTTCTGTCCGGGGAGGGCATGACTTTCGGCGGGGTAGAAGCGACGTGATCGGTCAGTTCCCCCCCCCCCGCGCCCTCCTGGCTCCGCCCCTGGCTCCTCCTCTTCTGTCCCCTCCGCTCGGCTCCCACCGCCCCCTCCGCCCTCTTGCTTGGCTTGGAGGGGGGAGGGGGCGCCGCAGCTCCTCTGGGTCTCGAACTCCTCTCTCTCGGTCCGGCTTCCATTCTTCTCTTCCACAGAATTCAGCTCCTCTGGCTTGGGCAATCTGGGCCTTGGATCAGCAGTGCGATTCTGGCTACCCATAGAAATAAGGTATTCACAAGCCAGAAGAGAAAACCTTCCCCGTCCTAAGGGTTAAAAGCAACGGATCTGCCTTCCTAGAGGGGATGGGAAATCCGGGGGGGGGGCGGGTCCTCCAGAGCGAAGGTCACCCAAGGAAATCCTCTCGGGATCCGCCTGGGCGGCTTTGGAGAGACAAAGCTCGGCATTCCAAGGGTTAAGAGCAGCTGAGCTGGGTTCCTAGAGGGGACAGGAAACAGTGGAGGAGGAGGAGGTCCTCCGGAGCCAAAAAGGGAGCTCCTGTCGCCTTGGCAACTTCTGTGTGGGCTGAGTCTCCTGTCTCCCCCGCCAGAGGGCGCAGTGGGGAGAAGGGAGTCCGGGGGGGGGGGCAGGGGACCCCCAAGTCCAGGGAGCAGAGAGACTCCTGCCCCCTTCCTCTCTGCCAAGCCGGGGAGGGGGACCAGGGCATTCCTCGGCATCCCTGGCCCCCTTCAGACCGAGGAATCCGGGCCATCTACTAGCAGACGTCGTAGTGGGAAAGAAAGATTTGTACGTAAAATAGATGCAGAAAGAAAAAAGAAAGAAAGGAGAGCGTGACCCATGCAATCAATTGAGGAAGTGCAGTGTAAGCGGTGGAAGTCATTCAATGGAATTTTATTATTATTTGTTTATTGAAATACATGTAGAATAAATTTGGAAGAAATTCTTCCTACTTTCTTCGCTTTCTCTTTTTCTAATTTTTCTTTTTCTTTTTCTTTCTTCTTTTTCATTCTTCTTCTTTTCTATATTTTTCTTTTTTATTAACAGCATTATGGAATTTTGGATATTTGTATGTAATTTATTTATTTATTAATTAATATTGGGGAAATCGCAGGGGTCGGCACACCGGCAGTGCAATAGATGAGCCTTACCCTGGGAAAACCTCCTTCATGATCAAGGTGTCTCCTCTGCCAGGTAAGTATATATGTATGTGATTGTAACACTTTGTTAATTGATTTTGATTTTGAAATAATTATATTAAGGTAATAAAATAAAATTTTAAAAAAGGAATTGAATGTGTTCTCAAGAGTTGTTTTGGGGATTCAGGAAGGAGGGGTAGACCCTGGAGTTCCTTGGAGAAAATGGTGGGAAAGAAATGAAATTAATAAAGAGACGGAGCCCAGCCCATAATCTGACGGCTGCATTTTGCAGCTGTTTCTGAGTTGTCTTCAAGGGCAGCTGCATATGGAGGGCATTGCAATGATCCCATTGGATCCAGAGCATGGAATACCATGGCCTCTCATCCCAAAGAGACTGGGGCTGGCAAACTAGCCAGAGCTCGAAGGGGGCAATGCTAGTCACTGAGGCCACCTGGGAACCTCTAAGCAGATGTGGTGGTGGGGTTATGCTATGCAACATTATTGTTATTTTAATTATTATAATTAGTAATTACCCATCCTATTATTTACATGCAGTTCACCCTAAGTTCCCAGGGCAGATTTCAACATTAAAACACTATAAAAAAATAGTTTAAAACTAGAACTAGAAGATTTCTTCTTCCTTTTTTACTTAAAGAAAGCTCAGAGTCTGGCCTGTGGTGCAGTCCAGTCCTGGTTCCTTCCAAGACTCATCTACACTTGCACAGGGAACCACCTTCTTCTCCTTCCCATTTATCAGTTTTATAACAGAACAGTGTCTTTGTAGAATTTGCCAGCACCTCTCATTCGTTTGGATGGACAGAACTTAGCAGAAGACCAAGGGGTTCCTTCTGATCTTTTGGAGACTTCCTGATAGCACAGATGGATGAGCAAGACTCAGCTGGCCCTGAAGCAGGAAGAGGCCATGGCATTGACAATGGGAGCAGTGGGGGATTCTGGGAAAACTCTGCAGAAGATCCTGGGTGAGGAGGACACCCTCCGTTCAGAGGTGCAGAGCCGGCAGTTCAGGTGGTTCTGCTACCAGGAGGCCAAAGGACCCCGCGAGGTTTGCAGCCACCTCTACTACTTCTGCCACCAGTGGCTGAAGCCAGAAAGGCACACGAAAGCTGAGATGCTGGACCTGGTGATCATGGCTGTCCTTCCAGCGGAGATGGAGAACTCCGTGAGGGAATGCAGAGCAGAGACCAGTTCCCAGGCAGTGGCCCTGGCCGAAGGTTTCCTCCTGAGTCAGGCAGAGGAGAGAAAGCAGGCAGAGCAGCAGGTGAGAGAGACTTTCCTCTGGGGCTCTGAACAGGAGGGACAGTATCTCTAAATCCCATCCTTTTTTTTTGGAATGACAGTGGATACCCCTCAAGTTTTTGTCCCAGACATTCCTTTTCTAACCCATCTCCACATTCTCTATTACAAATCCTTGTTGCTCTTTCAGGAAAAGGATCAGTCGGCAGCAACGGGTCCTGATCCCTCTGAGGCAGAGAGGACTTCGCTGGACACCAGAGAGAGGCCGCTGGGTAAGGAGGAAGGAGTTGTTTCTCAGTCTGGCCACGTTCTGTTGACACAGGCTCTGGGCTCTCTTCCAGAAGTAATCCCTGGGTTCTTTCAGTATCTGAGGGAAGGACAAGAGATGTATTTTCACATAACTAAAATATGAAATGGGTACAAAGGCCAGAATGCACCTCTGAGAGAAGCGCCATGCACTCCTGGCTCCCCTTTGTCTCTCGTAGGTGAAAGAAGGATGCCGGCAAGATCTCCTCCTCCATCTCTTCGTCCTGGTGGAGGGGAAACAGTGGCTGAGGAACCGGATCAAATAGGGGGAAGGAATCTTGGGGGGAAAGAGGCTGAGGGGTGGGGGAGACAGGGCGTTTCTGGGGGCAAAGGAATCTCCTGCTCTTTTTTCTTCTGTCAAATCTGGAAAACTGGCATGCTTGCACAGACAGAATGATTTGAAGAAATCAACATGGAGTTCCACCCATTTCCCCTAAGACCTGAAAGATTGCTGCGCCATAAATCTTATTAAACAAAGGAGAGCTGGAAGAGAGCCCAGAGCCCTGGAAGATAAAAAAACGTGGCCTCGGGGGGGGGGGGGAACCACGCTGAAAATCAACCTACGGATAACAACACAGAATAAAATGCTTCTTGCAAGTTAATAGACATATGGATTTGTTAAACACAATAGAAAGTCATATACCAGTGATTGTGATGATAAGACAGTGGGTTAAGATCGGAGTTATGAAATTGGAGGAAAACTCTTCCCAGAAAAAATTCCTTTAAAAGAATCAAGTCTTAAAACAAAAAAAAAGTCCTTAAACAGTATTTAAAAGAATCCTTCCAAAAAAAAATTAAAAAAATTGTCCAGTAGCACCTTAGAGACCAACTGGTCTACCTACCTGAATCTGGGGAAAACAAGAGAAGAACACAGAAACAAGTGAAAGAAACTTTCTCCCGATAGCCAGAACATGGGAAGCCCTCCCTATTTTTTTAGTTTGGAATGTATTCAATCCATTAATAATTTTTTAGTTCATCTTCAGTGAAGGTTTGTCGGATCATAAATCAGCAAAAATAATGTAACTATAAAAAGAGAACAGAAGCCCCCCCCTTCACTTACCTAACAATCCTCTTACGGCAAAGTCCTCTCCAGATCAAAACCTTGGCACACAGTGGCTGATTCATTTAGCAGGTTATCATGTCTCCGTCTTCCAAAACACACCTGTTTCTTAAGTCCAGATTTTTTATCTTAAAAAACAGAAGTATTCCCGCTCACGGTGGCCACATTGGAGAGTTCTGATTCATGCAGTGCCAAGCACTCAGGGCCCCTGCCCCCTGCATTCCGTCGGAGCGAGAGACAGTTAACGGACAATCCACCAGTCAAAGCTTGCCCTCCCTGACCCGGGGGGGGGGGGGTCACAAGGATAATTACTCTCATATTATCCTTAATTAACTGCATGGTCAGAGTCCGCTTTCATGGGTCCGCTGCACGCCATGGCAGTTCATGACGGAAGTCGCAAATGCAACGTTTTAAGTGCGTTATATAAAGGTGACACTAGATGGCAATGGTGAGCTTATGGCAAATTCAATATATTTTTCAAAATGCTTCTTTTAAAAAGCATTTTAACAGCATTTTTAATATGTGTCTGGATTCCCCCACTCACACAGGGTCAACAGAATTGTTGCCCATCCGAAGATCACAAGGCCTTTTTTGCCTAAATCAACCCCACAGGTGGTAAAAACAAAGAAGCACAAAATATTTTACACTGTTTTTTTAAAAAGAATTCCAACAATCTGAGGAGCCTTTGCTGTAAGGCTGCGGGGCTCTCTACCCATTTACCTGGGAATAAAAGGCATTGAACTTAAATGAACCTCTGAGTCGATGTGTAAAGGATTGCACTACAAAGGCCTAAAATGTTGAACCAGACTCCAGCTCAGTTGATAGAGCATGAGACTCGTAATCTCAGGGTCGTGGGTTTGAGTCCCATGTTGCGCAAATGATTCCTGCATTGCAGGGGGATGGATTGGATGACCCTTGGTGTCCCTTCTGACTCTACAGTTCAATGATAAGCAAAGTATACATGACTATAACTCTCATAATAATAAATTTTTATTTATACCCCGCCCTCCCTGCCCAGAACTGGGCTCAGGGTGGATAACACCAATAAAATTACAAGAAAACATAATGGGGGAGCAGTTAATTAAAATAAGGGTTAAAATACAATTTAAAATGTATTAAAGATCTTGTTTGGAGTGTTACTTTAAAAAAAAAATTTGACCACAATAGATTTTACTCCAAATGATTTTTGCATGAAGTCTATTTCTAGGCATGCAGGTTTTTTTTAGAGAAGACAAGTGGCAAATAAATGGCAACTGTTTTCTAGGCAAGAAACATGACACTTTTCTTCATTTTCTTCCCTTTTCTTTCCGACTTTAAAAGCAGACAAAATCGGCTGCCTTGTCCCAGGATTCAGCCTAAGAGCAGCTGTCCCTGCCCAGCAGAAGACATCCAAGCCTAGACACGACAAGGTAAGTCCTGAGTATCATAGATGACATGGGGGGAGGGGGCGGCATACAATCTGAGGAAAGAAGAAGAGAGAAGTTTGACTTTCTTTCTTAGCACAGGCCTTGTACATAGCAGAGAGGCACTGAACGAAACATTCAGAGGCAAAGCTTCCTCAGAACTACCAAGCCAATCAGAGTGCAGGCTTCCTGAGTAAGTGTCAGCAAGCAAAAGCTCCACCTTTCCCTCTTTTGGTTATTTGACTTGAACGTGAACACAATTAACCTGGAACGACCTCCTGTTGGAAGGGGGAACTTCGAACAAGACCTTTTCTTGTCCTGGGTCCTGGGGGGGGAGGTGGATGTCAGGGAACTGCCATCAGAGCTAGAGGCGGAGGGAAGGCTCCAGAGGGATGCCGGAGAGGGTCCCAGTAGGGAGAGAGGCAGCCCATCTGCTGGGGAAGGAAATCAGCGTAACACCAGTGGAGAAGGGGGGCAGATGGGGGAATCGGAGAGGAGGCTCCAAGACTCCTCGCCGGAGACCAGCGGAGAGAGTACGGGTACTCCGCTGCCCACATCCTCCCTGCGCAGAAGACTTCCGCGCAGGGAGAGTAGGAGGAGACTTGGCGTCAAACAACTTTTATGCCGGAAAAGGTTCAAGAAACGCCCACTGACGGATTCTGCCAGGGACTGAGCCAGTCACGATGCTGGAGGCTGTTCAGTCAGAAAGGGTTTAACCAGGTAACCTCGCCAGCAGTGGCGGCAACTTACGCACGAGCAACCCCTAAATCCATTACAGCTTGCTTCAGTTAGCCTTTGTTAAGATTGACTGCATTGTGTCCTGATATGGGCTGTGGTTAGTTAAACATGGAAGAAAAAGCTTCCGGTCTCCTTTTTGCAACTGTGCTAGAGGAGAAGGGAGCAGGAGCCGATGAGTCCAAGGCTCATTCACACAATAATAAACCATAGTTTATCACAGAGGTAACCAAAATGGTGCCCTTCAGATGCTACAGACTGCAACTACCATCCCTCCTGAAATGAAACCCAGGAGTGTGATGCCCCTGGATTTTTGTTGTGAGTTGGGAAATGACAAAGGAAATTTTCCAACCCTCACTATGGAGAAGATGAGCAGATTCACCTGGTTCATTTTAATTTTAAAAAAGCAGCTCCCATGGAAAAGAGCACCAGTGGTCAGTGTACCCTACACTGTCCTGCACTTTCTCACTGGTTGGCTGACCAAACCCAAAGAGAACAGCTTCATGGTTCCTCGTCATCCTGGGAAAAAAGTGACCAGTGGGGTGTCACAGGGTTCTGTCCTGGGCCCGTTGTTGTTCAACGTTTTTTTAAAAAATAAATGACTTGGATGAAGGAATTGAGGGGATGCTTATCAAATTTGCAGATGACACCAAACTGGGAAGGGTAGCCAATGCCGCAGAAGACAGAATCGGGATTCAAGGTAACCTTAACAGATTGGAGAACTGGGCCCAAACTAACAAAACGAAATTCAATAGGGTCAAATGTCAGGTTCTACATTTAGGCAGGAAGAACCTGATGCACAAATATAGGGTGGGGGAGCCCTGGCTTGCCAGCAGTTTGAGTTTCCTGGAGGAAAATAAAATACAAAATTTGTAAGTCTGCACAACAACTTGTTGTTGTTGCTTAGTTGTTTAGTCGTGTCCGACTCTTTGTGACCCTATGGACCAGAGCACGCCAGGCACTTCTGTCTTCCACTGCCTCCCGCAGCATGGTCAAACTCGTGTTGGTAGCTTCGAGAACACTGTCCCACCATCTCGTCCTCTGTCGCCCCCTTCTCCTTATGCCCTCAATCTTTCGCACAACAACTTACTGACTACTAATATTTTCCCAGCTGCTAAAAGGTCCCAACTAAATGGTGATTTGCCTCCAATTGCACTTAAGGTTCCCAAACTCACTTTCCCCATCCTTACCCTCCAGAATACTAGCGAGACGAATGCCAGTATCACAGTCATCCTTTGCTGTGGGCAAATGGCATTTGGGGCACGGCCAGATGACCTGCATTTCTTTGTTGATCTCATCATGGAGGAGCTCCTCTTTCAATTCCAGAACACCAGGAAGGTATGGCTCTGATTATCCCACGGACTCCAGTTGTTTGTTCTCTCAGCTATACCATACTTTTCCGTGTATAAGACGAGGTTTATTATTATTATTATTAAAAATGACGTTTAAAAATGAGGGTCATCTTATACACGGAGAGTGCATAGGGGGGACGTGGGATTGGTTGCCGCTGCAAGCCGGAGATAGTCAGCGGCTATTGTGCGTGTTATTGGTAGCTGCGGCAAGGGGTGGTGTTGATTGGCTGTCACTGCGGAAATTGGGAAGGCGATTGGCGGTTTCTGCCGGCGAGGGACAGACAATAGGTGGGTTTTGCGACGTGTGTGAGTGGCAGCATAGGTCCAGCTGGTGAGCAATTTTTGGAATCCCCTCCCCCAAATAGCTGAACAACTGTGGGTAATCCTCCCCCCCCCAAAAGCTCAGCAACTCTGGGCAATCCTCCCCCCATTTTCTTAATTTGGAGTCCCCCAAAATAGGGGGTGTCTTATACACGAAAAAATACGGTATATCCTTCCTTTCTCCTGTCATATGACTCCAGGAGGTGTGCAACCATTTCCCCAGTGGTCACCATCCAGGCGCTGAGCAGACCTCCCAAGCTCCGTCAAGGTCCTTTCACCACATGCCTTCAGACTGTGCCCTAGGGCAGGGTCTTTGGCTTCATCCACCGAAGGGTTGTAGACTGGGGTGTATACTGACTCCACACTTAGGACCAAATGGGGCATTACAGTGGTACCTTGGTTCTCAAACTTAATCCGTTCTGGAACCAAATTGTTCCAAAACCAAGGCACGCTTTCCCATAGAAAGTAATGCAAAATGGATTAATCCGTTCCAGACTTTTTTTAAAGAAACCCTAAAACAGCAATTTAACATGAATTTAACTATCAACAAGACCATTGGGTTAGGGTTAATTTTTGGATTACCCTAGTAAGGATTAGAATTAGGGTTAGGGTCAGTATGGCTTTATGTTTCCTTGTGATTTTGATTCAAACTCAATTTTATAAAATCCCTTGTCCTTTCAGAACCAGGCTTTGAAGAAGAGCTTTATGAAGGCAGCAACTCTAACAACCAAGGCGCTTGTGCAATCGAATGTGGGACATGTCACCTTCCCCCACAAAGAGGAGCTCACCTTCTGCATCATAGTGAGTAAAAAAAAAGAGGGGGATCTCCTGGGGTTTCTTTTCAGAGCGTTGTTGTTTTTTTTTTTAATAGCTGTGTAGGTCTAGCTCTGGGTTGCATGTTCTGACCATCTGGCCCCAAACCATTTCTGGGTGGTCACGTTCTGCTCCAGCTCAAGTTTCCAAACCCTCTTGAAAGGCAGCCCTACATTGTGGCAAACTCAGCAGGATGTCACCAGCGCCTAAGTAAAAGAGGCTAGGTTCTCCCAGGAGGAGAGGGTTGTCGATGGCTCCCAGCCATGACTGCTATGTTCTACCTCCACAGAGGAAGGAAGCAATGTTTCTGAAGGAAGCAATGTTGCTGGAAGCCACAGGCTCTTGGGCTCATGGTCTGCTCCCTGGTTTCTCACAGGCGTTTGGTTGGCCACTGTGAGAATGCTGTGAGGATGCTGAACTAGATGTGCCCTTGGCCTGGTCCAGAAGGCTGATCTTACAAAAGTCGAAGCCAGGAGCCCCATGCCAGCAATACAGAGCCAGGTGACTGGACCTTCTGCTTCTAGGGATCTGAATTGAGGAAAATGGGGTTGCTAGGTTAAAGGATTTGAGGGCAAAGAGTCTGAGTCGTGTAAGCTACAAATAATCCTGCCAGAGACACTTGACCCATCACAATGATGTAACAACCAGAGACTTTGGGTGTATATTTTTGATTTTAATCATGTTTCCATATTTATTGCATTTAACATTTGGCTAGAATGCATCCACGAATGATTCCTGCATGCCTTCATTTTGTGACTCTCATGCCTCCCTCCTACGCTGCATTTAATTTTATTTGTTTGCTTGTTTGTTTATATGCTGCCCATCTGACTGGGTTACTCTAGCCACTCTGGGCGGCTTCCAGCAAATTAAAACACAACAAGACATCAAATATTTAAAACTTCCCTATGCAGGGCTGCCTTCAGATGTCTTCAGACGGAAGTATAATTATGTAGGTCTATGACATCTGATAGGAGGGTGTTCCACAGGGTGGGCCCCACCACCGAGAAGGCCCACTGCCTGCTTCCCTATAACTTCACTTCTTGCAGTGAGGCAGCTGCCACAAGGCCTTCTCAATAAACAACAACAGCCCCCACTGAAGATTTGATTGCTATGGCAATGGAGGTTAAAGTACGATAAAAAGGTAAAGGTAAAGGGACCCCTGACCATTAGGTCCAGTCGTGGCCGACTCTGGGGTTGCGGTGCTCATCTCGCTTTACTGGCCGAGGGAGCCGGCGTACAGCTTCCGGGTCGTGTGGCCAGCATGACTAAGCCGCTTCTGGCGAACTAGAGCAGCGCACGGAAACACCGTTTACCTTCCCGCCAAAGCGGTACCTATTTATCTACTTGCACTTTGACGTGCTTTCAAACCGCTAGGTTGGCAGGAGCAGGGACCGAGCAACGGGAGCTCACCCCGTCGCGGGGATTCGAACTGCCAACCTTCTGATCAGCAAGCCCTAGGCTCTGTGGTTTAACCCACAGCACCATCCGCGTCCCTTAAAGTACGATAGGGCCAAATGGAACACCCCAAGGAAGTTGAGCCCAGTGTGGAGTCCTGTATCTTTATATCCCATGACCTGTAACCTTACATACCTTACATACATCAAGAAACATTTGATATTTATGACTCTTTGTGCGCTGTGTTTGAACCCCTGCATAAGCTTTGTTACGAATTTGCTGAGCAGCTGGTGGGCAAGGCTGCCTTATTGCAATAGCCCTAATATACTGGGTCCCTAGCTGGATCTGCTGAAGCTTGCTGTGATTCTCTTGATTCTGCATGCCATTTAAAAGGTGTTCCCTCACCTGGGCAATGGACAGGTAGTATAGAAATAAAGTCTTAGGACAACAGCCCCCCCTGTGGCTCTTTCCCTCTTTTCTCATTCTGGCTATGGGCTGCAAAAAGAAATAGAGTTGAAGAATGTGTGCTTCTCCTGATTTGCTGCCATTGGCCCCAGTCAGCATGACCAAGAGTCAGGAGTGGTTGGAGTCCAAGAACCAGGCATGGGGAACCCGAGGTGCTCCAGAACCAGAACCATAGAATCGTGATAGCTGGCCATCCAACCTCTGCTTAAAAACCTCCAAGGAAGGAGGGGGCTGTTGAGCTCATGCCTTGCTTGCAGGTTTCCCACTGGGTCACCTGGTTGGCCACTGTGGAAAGGGGATGCTGGACTAGAAGGCTCCAGAGCATATGGGATTTCCGTGGGGGTCTTCAGCTTCTAACTGCTTTTGCTTCTCTCCTTTCAGGACTATTATCAAGAGACCATCGACACCTGCCTCAACATGCTCACCAGCTTGCTGTCGGAGGCCCCCTCTCTGGAGACGCTGCAGGAGATATTAGTGGTAAGGGAGCCCCCAAGATGTCAGAGCAGGGGGAAGCGGCAGCTCCCATGCTGGAGGACAGGCCCTCTTGAAATGATTGCACGGGGGGCATCTGTGGCCAACTCACTGGTGGTCAAATGGGCCTCTGTTCTGCTAGGAATGCTTGTGCAAGGCACACGTTCATTTCCTTTCAAAGATATGTCCTCTGCTGATGGCGTATGGGGAAGGGCCGTGGCTCGGGGCAGAGCATTTGTTTTGCATGCCCAAGGTCCCAGGTTCAGTCCTCAGCATCTCCAGGTGGGGCTGGGAAAAGGCTCTCTGTCTGAAACCCCAAAGGGCCAACTGCCAATCCTCATTACCTGTGGATCAATGGCTGGGCTTGGTCTAAGGATGCTTCCTGCATTCCATTGCTATGGCTGTGGTGAGGTGTATGTTGTATTATTGTAATTATCACACACAAACACACACAAATGACAGATCACAGGGCGGTTCACAACATAAAAATACAAAATCAGAACACAAAATGCATAATAAAACAAAAACAACCCCAAAGCCAATTAATATCTAATTCTACTAATGCTTTTTTTAAAAAATGGCTTCTTTTTTCTATGTCTTTAGTTGTTCTTATTTTGTTTGTAAGCTGCCTCGAGCCGCTGTCAGGGGAAAAGGTGGGGTATTATTATTATTCCCTTTCATGGATCATTGCCTTGCTGTGGCGAAGGGGCTTGAATAACTCAGTGAAGCTATGAACTATGCTGAGCAGGGCACCCAAGATAGACAGGTCATAGTGGAGAGTTTTGTCCAAACATGATCCACCTGGAGGAGGAACCAGGAAGCCACTCCAGTATCCCTGCCAAGAAAACTCCATGTACAAAGACAACAGGCATATAAAAGTTATGACGCTGGAAGATGAGCCCCTCAGGTCGGAAGGCGTCCAACATGCTACTGAGGAAGCGCGGAGGACAAGTACAAGTAGATTCAGAGCTGATGAAGTGTCTGGGCCAAAGCTGAAAGGACGCTCAGTTGCGGATATGCCTGGAAGCGAAAGGAAAGTCCAGTGCTGTAAAGAAAAATATTGCATAGGAACCTGGAATGTAAGAACCATGAACCTGGGTAAGTTAGATGTGGTCAAAAATGAGATGGCAAGAATAAATATTGACATCCTGGGCATCAGTGAACTAAAATGAATGGGAATGGGCGAATTCAGTTCGGATGACCATCGTATACCGTTTACAGTGGTGCCCCGCAAGACGAATGCCTCGCAAGACGGAAAACTCGCTAGACGAAAGGGTTTTCCGTTTTTTGAGCTGCTTCGCAAGACAAATTTCCCTATGGGCTTGCTTCGCAAGACGAAAACGTCTTGCAAGTTTGTTTCCTTTTTTCTTAACACTGTTAATACAGTTGCGACTTGACTTCGAGGAGCAACTCATAGAACGCAGTGTACATAGTAGCCTTTTTGAGGTTTTTAAAGACTTTGGTGATTTTTGAAGCTTTTCCAAAACTTCTTTTGCAGCCATTTGGTAAGTTAAGCTTTTAAAACTTTTTTGGGGGGGTTTGGATTTTGGGTTGGGGTGTTTGGAATTCAAGGACTTGGTGTTGGGGAGGGGTTTGCAAGAATCTGGAAGCTTGTGTGTTTTTTTTCTGCATTTTTATGATTTTCTGTGACCATTGGGCCACTCTGCTGTTTTTAAAAAAAGTTTCTGGATTTGAATTTCTGTGTGCTGGGTGGCTGGGGGAACAGTTGGGGAGGGGTTTGCAAGAATCTGGAACCTTGTGTGTTTTTTTCTGCATTTTTATGATTTTCTGTGACCATTGGGCCACTCTGCTGTTTTTTAAAAAAATTTCTGGATTTGAATTTCTGTGTGCTGGGTGGCTGGGGAAACAGTTGGGGAGGGGTTTGCAAGAATCTGGAAGCTTGTGTTTTTTTCCCTGCATTTTTATGATTTTCTGTGACCATTGGGCAACTCTGCCGTTTTTTAAAAAAAATTCTGGGTTTGAATTTTGAAATGCTCTTTACAGTATGTGTGACTTTAAAGAGCACTTAATAAACTCTTGTTGTACTAAATTTGGCTTTGTTTGGACTTTTTTTGACCATAGGAACGCATTAATTGATTTTCAATGCATTCCTATGGGATTTCGTGCTTCGCAAGACGAAAAATTCGCTAGACGAAAAAATTCGCGGAACGAATTAATTTCGTCTTGCGAGGCACCACTGTACTACTGTGGGCAAGAAACCCGTAAAAGAAATGGAGTGGCCCTCATAGTCAACAAAAGAGTGGCGAAAGCTGTACTGGGATGCAGTCTCAAAAATGATAGAATGATCTCAATACGAATCCAAGGCAGACCTTTTAACATCACAGTAATCCAAGTTTAGGGACGCGGGTGGCGCTGTGGGTTAAACCACAGATCCTAGGACTTGCTGATCAGAAGGTCAGCGGTTTGAATCCCCGCAACGGGGTGAGCTCCCGTTGCTCAGTCCCAGCTCCTGCCCATCTAGCAGTTTGAAAGCACGCCAAAGTGCAAGTAAATAAATAGGTACCGCTCCAGCGGGAAGGTAAATGGTGTTTCCATGCGCTGCTCTGGTTCTCCAGAAGTGGCTTAGTCATGCTGGCCACATGACCCGGAAGCTGTACGCCGGCTCCCTCGGCCAATAAAGCGAGATGAGCACCGCAACCCCAGAGTCGGTCACGACTGGACCTAATGGTCAGGGGTCCCTTTACCTTTAATCCAAGTTTATGCACCAACTACTGGCGCTGAAGAAACTGAAATTGACTAATTCTATGAAGACTTACAACACCTTCTAGAAATGACACCAAAGAAGGATGTTCTTCTCATTATAGGGGATTGGAATGCTAAAGTAGGGAATCAAGAGATAAAAGGAACAACTGGCAAGTTTGGCCTTGGAGTTCAAAACGAAGCAGGGCAAAGGTTAATAGAATTCCGTCAAGAGAACAAGCTGGTCATCACAAACACTCTTTTCCAACAACACAAAAGACGACTCTACACATGGACATCACCAGATGGGCAGCATCGAAATTAGATTGATTATATTCTCTGCAGCCAAAGATGGAGAAGCTCTATACAGTCAGCAAAAACAAGACCTGGAGCTGACTGTGGCTCAGATTATCAGCTTCTTATAGCAAAATTCTAGCTTAAACTGAAGAAAGTAGGAAAAACCACTGGGCCGGTAAGATACAATCTAAATCAAATCCCTTATGAATACACAGTGGAAGTGAGGAACAGGTTTAAATTCAAATTACTTTCTGTAAAAGGGAAATGCAATGAGAATTACCCCTTCTCCTTATGGTGCCCAAAATCTTTGCTCTAGTACGGAACCATTGAGAACCATTGAGAACCATCAACTATTAAGAGTCTACCAAGTTCCAATCTAACATGCAAAATTCTTTTCACAGTTTTCCCACTGAGTTTGTCTTTTATCTGGTTGCATTATAGGAACAGCATTCCTGACAGAGTTTTTCACAGGAAATAAAAATTTCCCTTTCAAACAGGATACATGAACCTCTAAGAGAATTCGGACCCACATAAGCAAAATGTTTAATAACTTGCCAATTGTGTTCAAATTAACAAAGGTTTTGTCCCTTCGTTTCTTCCACAGCCAAACTAAGTGAAGGAAATTAAATGTAAATGATTATAATATTTAAATGGATATTATTTACAGCTTCCCAAGAAGAAAATTTTAGAATATTATCTCCTTTCTTAACTATTATCTTCCTCCTTTAAAAAAAACACAACTAATTATGTCTTCAGATCCCAACCCCCCCCCCGCACGCCTATTTTCAAAGGATGCTTTGTGGGAGACCAAATATTAAGACGATCTCCTCACCAGCTAAGCAGCCTGCCAATGCATTACAGTGGCCACAACAATTTCTTCCCATAAAAAGACTTGAGACCAGGCAGACAGATGAAAGACAATATAAGGAATATAATTAATATTTTGGAATATCTGACTGCCAGGAATGAGAAACAAGCGATACTAATGTTTGTGGATGCAGAAAAGGCCTTTGATAATATAGCATGGGATTTTATGTTGAAAAACTTGGAGTATATGGATGTGGGAAAAGAGTTCTTTAATGGAATTAAGGCAATATATACGGAGCAGAGAGCCAAATTGATAGTCAATAATGTAATTATTGATTAATGTAATGTAATTACGGAAGATATAAAAATATCTAAAGGAACAAGACAGGGTTGTCCACTCTCGCCATTGTTATTTATAACGGTTCTGGAGGTCTTTTTAAGTGCGATTAGACAAAATAGATTAATAAAAGGGGTGACAGTAGGTCAGAATGAATATAAAGTTAAAGCCTTTGCTGATGATCTGGTAATAACGATGGAAGAACCAATGGAGAGTGTAAAAGAAGTAATGGAGGAGATTGAAAAATTTGGAAATATGGCCGGGTTTAGATTGAATAAGAAAAAACTAAAATAATTGCTAAAAATATGGATCAAAGTATGATAGAAATAATGCAACAACAAACAGAGATGGAGGTGGTGAAAAAGGTAAAATATCTAGGAATTTGGTTAACACCTAAAAATATTGACCTGTTCCAGAATAACTATATACCAGTTTGGAAGGAAATAAGGAATGATCTGGAGGTGTGGGGTAGAATGAAACTGTCCTTTTGGGGTAGAATTTCCATGATAAAGATGAGCGTGCTTCCAAAGATGTTATTTTTATTTCAGACTATCCCCATTATAAAGGGGGTAGGGATTTTTAAAAGAGTAGCAGAGAGTGATCTCAAGGTATATCTGGTAGGGTAAGAAGCCAAGAATAAAATATAAGTTACTAACAGATGCGAAAAAAACAGGAGGCTTCGCCCTACCAGATTTGAAATTATATTATGAAGCAGCATGCCTATGTTGGTTAAAGGATTGGATAAAATTAGAAAATAAGGAGTTATTAGATTTGGAAGGTTTTGATAACAGATTTGGATGGCACACGTATTTATGGTGTGAGAAGAAGAAAATTCTAGAAGTCCTTTCTAGGTGCTCACAGACTGTTTGCTTAATGATCTGCTCCAGAATCTTCCCTGGTATTGATGTCAGACTGACTGGGCGATAATTATTTGGGTCCTCTCTTTTCCCCTTTTTGAAAATAGGGACAACATTTGCCCTCCTCCAGTCTGCCGGGACTTCGCCTGTTCTCCATGAATTCTCAAAGATGACTGCCAGTGGTTCTGAGATCACCTCTGCCAGGTCTTTTAATACTCTTGGATGCAGTTCTATGTATTGATGTATTGTTAAAAAGAAATAGAAGGGGGAGAGAAGACAAATGGCAATACAAATGAAGGGAATGTGTACTGAAGAGATAAATATGGATGATTGCTAGAGAAGCTGAAGGAAGTCCAAAAAGAGATAATTTGTCAAAATTTGGATAAAAATGTACAATTATATTGGAAAATTAATAAAAATTTATGCATAAAAAGACTTGAGAAACTGACTAATTGAATTTTGAAGGACATTTTATCTCTTTGACCACAACCCAAGAAGGAAAGAACCTAGAAAGCTATAACATGTCAGCAACGTTTGGAAGGGCTCTTAACTTCCTCCCAATGACTCAAAGGCAGACAAGAAATGCCCTTCTGCCCAAGTTTGGAGATACATGTAAAAGCAGCAAGAATTGTCTCAAGATCACATTATTGCCTCAAGATATGGTGTAGCATTAATAATTTGTATGTTTTGTGTATTATGTGCTATTATGTAGGAATGCTGAAATGTGTCTGATAGTGTCCCCCCACAAAGGGGGGACAAAATTTCTGTGTGTAATTGTTTCTGTATAAAATAGGGTGCATAACTGAACAACAGAAGGGTTTGGCTTACACCCCAAGTTTTTTCATGGAGGATTCTCATATATTACATGCTTTCCGATAGAGCAGGCTATATTTAGATTAAGTCAACTGATGATCATATTTGCTTGTCCCACCTGGCACTCTGCAGTGTGCCAACCTTCTCTACCCATTTATTTATTTATTTATTTATTTATTTTAATTTTGTCACCAAAAATATATTTTTTTTTATTCAAAGGACACAAATAGTGATTTGTTTTTTTCTATACATGAAGTTCCCAGAAAGAAATTACTTTTTTACTATTTCTTTCTTTCTTTGCAGTCACTTTCTTTCTGTTCCAGAAAACTATTTTGAATCTCTTCTATGACTTCTCTGTATCTCTTGCAGATTCAGTACTGTCTTTAAGTAGCAATTGTTCTGTATTTATTTATTAATCTTAGTTTTCCCGTATGGCTGTGGAATTAATCTAACCACAACCAAGTATTATTCTTGGAACCATATTTTATCAGGTAGTTTTGAGGCAACACTATTATTATTATTTGGGATGTTTTGATTAGAATGCCAAATGGAAATGGGTGTAGATCATGTCCCAAATTTTATTTATTTATTTGAGGACACAACCACCATACGTGGAATAAGGTTTCTGGGTCAATGTGCATTAACACCAGAGAACACGACTTGAAATAAGCGAAATCAAAGATTCTTCGTTCTATGTTGCTGCAACCCAAAACAACCTGTTTGGCTTTGTTTAGGGTTATTACGCTTCACTTTGCTATTTGTGGGGGACTGAACACAGAAAGAACAATGCAAGCTTATTCGTCCTCTTTCTATTCAGATGGAACCAAAACACCTATGCTTGATTTGGGCTAATAACAAACATGTCACCCTGCGATTTTTGGGTGAATGTGCATTCTAACCCCAAAAACACCAATTTGAAATAAGCCCTATCAGAGCTTTATCATCTTCTTTTTATGTAGTTGGAACCCAAAAGACCTTTTTGCTTTGGTTGGGGGTGAGTCTGGTACACACCCAAAAAACACCATGCAAATTGAAATAAGCACAATCAAAGCTTATTTGTCTTCTTTCTACGCATATGGAAGCGAAAAGACAGTGTTGTGTTATTTTGGTCTCCTTACACACACTTTGAGATTTCTGGGTCAATGTGCATTAACACCAAAGAACACGACTTGAAATAAGCGAAATCAAAGATTCTTCGTTCTATGTAGCTGGAACCCAAAAGAACCTGTTTGGCTTTGTTTAGGCTTATTACACTTCGCTTTGCTATTTGTGAGTGAATGAAGACCGAAAGAACAATCCATGCTTACTCGTCCTCTTTCTATTGAGATGGAACCAAAACACCTATGCTTGATTTCGGATGCTAATAAACATGTCACTCTACGATTTTTGGGTGAATGTGCATTCTAACCCCGAAAACACCAATTTGAAATGAGCCCAGTCAGAGCTTTATCATCTTCTTTTTATGTAGATGGAACCCAAAAGACCTTTTTGCTTTGGTTGGGGGTGATTCTGGTGCACACCCAAAAAACCCCATGCGAATTGAAATAAGCACAATCAAAGCTTATTTGTCTTCTTTCTACGCATATGGAAGCGAAAAGACAATCTTGTGTTATTTTGGTCTCATTACACACAATTTGAGATTTCTGGGTCAATGTGCATCAACACCAAAAAACAAGACTTGAAATAAGCGAAATCAAAGATTCTTTGTTCTATGTAGCTGGAACCCAAAAGAACAGGTTTCGCTTTGTTTAGGCTTATTACACTTCACTTTGCTATTTGTGAGTGAATGAAGACCAAAAGAACAATCCAAGCTTATTCGTCCTCTTTCTATAGAGAAGGAACCAAAGCACCTATGCTTGTTTTGGGCTGATAACAAACATGTCAAAAACCACCAATTTGAAATAAGCCCAATCGGAGCTTTATCATCTTCTTTTTATGTAGATGGAACCCAAAAGACCTTTTTGCTTTGGTTGGGGGTGATTCTGGTGCACACCCAAAAAACCCCATGCAAATTGAAATAACCACAATCAAAGCTTATTTGTCTTCTTTCTACGCATATGGAAGCGAAAAGACAGTGTTGTGTAATTTTGGTCTCATTACACACACTTTGAGATTTCTGTGTCAATGGTCATTAACACCAAAGAACACGAAATAAGCGAAATCCAAGATTCTTCTTTCTATGTTGCTGCAACCCAAAAGAACCTGTTTGGCTTTGTTTAGGCTTATTACGCTTCACTTTGCTATTTGTATGGGACTGAACACCGAAAGAACAATGCAAGCTTATTCGTCCTCTTTCTATTCAGATGGAACCAAAACACCTATGCTTGCTTTGGGCTGATAAAAAACATGTCACCCTGCGATTTTTGGGTGAATGTGCATTCTAACCCCAAAAACACCAATTTGAAATAAGCCCAATCAGAGCTTTATCATCTTCTTTTTATGTAGATGGAACCCAAAAGACCTTTTTGCTTTGGTTGGGGGTGATTCTGGTGCACACCCAAAAAACCCCATGCGAATTGAAATAACCACAATCAAAGCTTATTTGTCTTCTTTCTACGCATATGGAAGCGAAAAGACAGTGTTGTGTAATTTTGGTCTCATTACACACACTTTGAGATTTCTGGGTCAATGGTCATTAACACCAAAGAACACGAAATAAGCGAAATCCAAGATTCTTCTTTCTATGTTGCTGCAACCCAAAAGAACCTGTTTGGCTTTGTTTAGGCTTATTACGCTTCACTTTGCTATTTGTATGGGACTGAACACCGAAAGAACAATGCAAGCTTCTTCGTCCTCTTTCTATTGACATGGAACCAAAACACCTATGCTTGATTTGGGCTGATAACAAACATGTCACCCTGCGATTTTGGGGTGAAAGTGCATTCTAACCGCCAAAACACCAATTTGAATAAACCCAATCAGAGCTTTATCATCTTATTTTTATGTAGATGGAACCCAAAATACCTTTTTGCTATGGTTGGTGGTGATTCTGGTGCACACCCAAAATCACCATGCGAATTGAAATAAGCGCAATCAAAGCTTATTTGTCTTCTTTCTACGCATATGGAAGCGAAAAGACAGTGTTGTGTTATTTTGGTCTCATAACATTGCGATTTCTGGGTCAATGTGCATTAACACCAGAGAACACGACTTGAAATAAGCGAAATCAAAGATTCTTCTTTCTATGTTGCTGCAACCCAAAACAACCTGTTTGGCTTTGTTTAGGGTTATTACACTTCGCTTTGCTACTTGTGGGGGACTGAACACAGAAAGAACAATGCAAGCTTATTCGTCCTCTTTCTGTTGAGATGGAACCAAAACAACTATGCTTAATTTGGGCTAATAACAAACATGTCACCCTGCGATTTTTGGGTGAATGTGCATTCTAACCCCAAAAACACCAATTTTAAATAAGCCCAATCAGAGCTTTATCATCTTCTTTTTATGTAGTTGGAACCCAAAAGACCTTTTTGCTTTGGTTGGGGGTGAGTCTGGTGCACACCCAAAAAACACCATGCGAATTGAAATAACCACAATCAAATCTTATTTGTCGTCTTTCTACGCATATGGAAGCGAAAAGACAGTGTTGTGTTATTTTGGTCTCATTACACACACTTTGCGATTTCTGGGTCAATGTGCATTAACACCAAAGAACACGAAATAAGGAAAATCCAAGATTCTTCTTTCTATGTTGCTGCAACCCAAAACAACCTGTTTGGCTTTGTTTAGGCTTATTACGCTTCGCTTTGCTATTTGTGGGGGACTGGACACCGAAAGAACAATGCAAGCTTCTTCGTCCTCTTTCTATTGAGATGGAACCAAAACACCTATGCTTGATTTGGGCTGATAACAAACATGTCACCCTGCGATTTTTGGGTGAAAGTGCATTCTAACCACCAAAACACCAATTTGAAATAAGCCCAATCAGAGCTTTATCATCTTCTTTTTATGTAGATGGAACCCAAAAGACCTTATAGCTATGGTTGGTGGTGATTCTGGTGGACACCCAAAAAACACCTGTGCATTTTACTGGTAGCATTTTACCAGACAATTAGCATTGTACAAAAAACCACAGTGTGCCCCGGCAGACATGCAGAATTCCTGCAAGAGATTGTTCTTTGTAGTGTGGTTAGCACCCAGTATGCCTCATTACATGACTGCACTCCCCCCCTCCCTCCCTTGAACCATTGGCAAGGGATTCCTCTTCATCAGGCACCCAGAGCAGCGGAGGAACCACTCAGGGAGTGTTTGGATGGGCAGTCAAGTCAGGCTCCTAGCCACTCTGAGCCAGAGTGGAGAGGCACATGTTTTTGCCACTCCTTCCCTGGATCTGCACTCTTGGTGGTGGCCAGCTTGGCTAACCCCTAGGTACGTCCCTGGCCCCTAGTCTAAACAATTATGTACAGGTCAGGTTTATCTCTTGTTTCTGCTTTTTATTAAAAAAACAAAAAACTTAGTATAGTTTAGAGAGAGGCCTTATTTGTCAACCATCATACCTGCCAATAAAATAATACAAGGCTTCATTTGTCATGGGTGGAATTGTAATTATATTGGTTGTGCAATAAAATTGGGAAGAAAGCCACTTAATCAAGCTTGATGGTTTCTGTTACCTAGGGGAACAATTTGCACAACAGGGCATTTTTGTCACTCCAGTTAAAGGAGCCAGTCTTGTCAACTTTCATCCATTGGAACTAAGTTTTAGTGAATACAAGTCTATTTGTTCTGATTTCACATCATCCAAATTACATGAATAATCAACACGTTCCATCCTTTGACATTAACTCCTTTGATAGCTACTCATTTGGTTTTAAAATCCCTTTTCGGACAGCACACTGAATGGAGATGCCATCTGTCATTCAGTCTGTGACCAGACCCATAAATGCAATGTCATCATTGTGTTGCTTTCACAATCAGGGAGCATTGAATGCTGATGAAATAATTATTTTAAATGCCAGTAGCTTCCGCTTTTGAAAGTAGCAGATTTCAGAACTAAATTTGGACTTGGCAATTCTTTTCTTGTGTTTCGCTAACTTTTTATTTGCTGTCTGTTCACCCAAAAGGATGCAGATGTGA